TTTTAGACGTCGGAAATAGACGTCCTTTTAACGTCGGAAATAGACGTCCTTTTAACGTCGGAAATAGACGTGTTTTAGATATATATATATACACATATATATATATTATATATTATTATCATTATATGATATCTATGCTTACCGACCCGCCCCACAGAGAAAACCCTGCCCCCTTATTTGAATTTAATCGCAAGAAATAAACAGTGCTTAAAATAAAACAAACGGGGTTGAAAAATAAAAGCCTCTGAAATATGTAATGTACCTTTACAAAATAAGTGTCACAAAATGAAACTCCCATTATTAAATAAATAAATATATATATATATATCATGAAACTCCCATTATTAAATAAATAAATATATATATCTTGAAATAAATAAAAAATAAATCTTGCGGGGGGGGGGGGGGGACACTAATTTTTTTATTTGGGAACATTTCTATTTAAATGTTTTATTTCATGGGAACATTTATTTATTTAATTTTCAATGAAACGGCTCTTCATATAATATTACTGCTACTTCTAAAAATAATAATATTGTACCCTGTGTAAGTCCACGTAAACAAATGATCCAAAGCAGCATAAAACAAAATGTGTTTATTTCCCACAAACATCAAAAAGCATTTTAAACAACAACCTAAAATCAACAACAACAGCAATTACTCAAACATCTCAAGAAGCTTTATATTATATTATTTAACAACATTTTGGGTTAAATAAATAAATCGTTTTAGCTTCTACCAGAAACGGCAAAATTTTAAACTAGCTTTTAACTATCAAACTATATCATTAATTTATATATTTATATATTTTTAAAAATGCACACAAAAAGCACTTCATGTTACATGCAACAAGGATCTCACAAAAGAGTGGACCAATAATAATAATAATAATTAAATTAAAACAAGACAAAAACAACTTTTGAAACACAAATGTTTTCACAAGCTGTGGGTTATTAATATTTCACTAGCTTTGTGCATGTTTTAAAATTTAGATCATAATTTAATTTTCATTCTGCATAAGAAGTTGTGAGTAATAGTACTAAAACTTTGAATGACATGGTTCATAATAAAGAATGTGTTTTTGTTGCATATAAGTATTAGAAAGTGTCCCAGTAAGCTACAACAGTGACACATACAGATACATGGATACAGATTAACTGAAAGTAATAAAAGTTTTTTAATCGAATGATTATTTATTTATATTGTGTTGAGTGTTTAAACGCTCCCCTTGAGATGAAATAAAAACCCAAGTTTTCCTGGAGCATAAATAAGAAGAATGATGCTCAAACACCAGAGTATGAACTCCACTCAGAGGTCAGCTGTGTGGAGATCCTTCACAGGAAAATCACAGCGTTGAAGTTTTGTCATTCACATCATTTCAGCCTCAGTATCGGGTCCATGTTTGTTTGTTTGTTTGTCAGTCTGTTGTGTTTAATAAACAACATAAACTAGTCACTGGTAAACATCTAGAGATGATTGCGTGAACATTTATGAAGCATTCACACTATTGTGATCCATTTTCTTCTGTGCGTTCTTCGGCATCTTTCTCGTTCCACAATTCTTGTGCTAGTTCAACAAATCATATCACAACGTTCAGCTCATTCAGGAAAATCCTGCTGCAACTTTTTGTACTGGTGCTACTTTAGCTTTTTGAAATATTTAGCCTTTTCTGCCACTTTTTTTTCTCAAAGGAAATGAATTGAGCTCATTTTACATCCATCAAATCTTTAGATCTGTTTACATCCGTTTACAGCTCCTTTCACATTTTGTTCTGCTTCAGCTTCTTTCAGCTTCCTTCTGCAAATGTAAATTTTTTCAGCTAATTTCAGCGGTGTGTGTGTGTTCAGCTGTTTTGTAGCTCTTTTCTACTAACTACAACATTTTTGTGCTTCTTCTAACTTCTTTCTGCTCCCTTCAGCTTATTTCTGCACGTGTCAGCTTTTGATAGTATCTCAGCAACTATTTAGCCGTTTTCATACTAATTTTAGCCTTTTCAGCTAATTCCACATTTTTTGCACTCATTTAAACATTTTTCAGTTTAAATGGGAGTTGACGAGGCAGAGGGCAGGCCCCAGAGGCCATCTTATCTCTGGGAATGAGCAGTTTGTGAGATTCAGTTTAGTTGGGTGGGCTCCTCAGACTGAAGAAGTCCTTCGGATGAAGGATGAAACGTCTCAGCAACAAAATAAACCATCTAGACGACCTGACAACATTGCTGGACTTATACCTGCATTAATGAGCATGAACTTAGGAGTTTTTCAGTCTAATTCAGCAAAATTTCTCTCTCCACTTCTTTCTGGTTAGTTAAGCTTCCTTCTGCCTTTTTAGCTACTTTTCAGCTGCCCTTTTTTTTTTTTGGTGGCTAATTTCTTCTTTTTTTTTCAAATAATTTCCCCTTTTTTGTGCTCATTTCTGCTTCTTTAAGCCTAATTGGGCACTTGCTCTTTCAACTTCCCTCTGATAATTTAGGCTTCTTTCTGACTTTTCAACTAGTTTTTTATTTTGCTAATTTCAGCTTTTTTTTTTAAGGAAATTAACTCATTTTTGTGCTCATTTCTGCCTATTTAAACCTAATACAGCAAACATGTGTTCTCTCGACTTTCTTCTGCTAACTTAAGCTTGTTCTTCCATTTCAGCTACATTACAGCATGTTTTTAGCTAATTTTAGCTGTTTTTCAGCAAGTTCTTCAGCAATAAGCATTCACACTGCATTTTTGAATCAGTCCCATTGAATTACAGACACTGAACTTTGGTGTGGTAGTAGTCGAGCTTCATCTCCAATTTATAATCCAAGTGTTAACTGATTGCACCAGATTCGTTTTTAAAAATTTGCCTTTTACTATTTGGGTCCACTCCATTCATCTGTTAGCAAAATATTTCACAACCCACTAGATGGATTCAGAAAATAACCAGAGGATCTCTCTATAACTGATTAACTTTTAAAATGAACCCAATTCAAGATGGCCGCCACAGTCATTCGACTATAGGAAGCACAAAACTGTCTGGAACTCCATGTTACAACCAAAAAGCTTGAATGTGGTGTGGTAGTAACTGAGAATCGTTCACGACACATACTCTGAGCACTGCAGATTATGCAGCATGTTTGTAAAAATTAAACTGCAATAACGGCTGACATCAACCCTGTTTGCCTGTTAGCAAAATATCTCGTGAATCACTGGATGGATTTCAATGAAACTCTGAAATAATCATTGTAATCATATACAGTGGCCAAACATCTGGAGTCACATTAATTCAAGATGGCCACCACAAGTAATTAACACCAAAAGAGCTATGACAGAGCCAGCTGAAAAGTATTGAGATAAAATTTGTGGTAGTTGCTGAGAATCATCCTCAACACACTAACGAGCTTATGCAGGCTCATGCATGAGCTTGCATGACATCATTTGACCAAAAAGGCTCTTTGACGGGCGATATGCATTCCTTTAAGGATTGTGAAGCTTTATTTTACTGGTAGAGATCGTCACCCCCTTCTTCTCTGTACTGACTCTCTGACCCAGAACCCGAGTCCTGATGTCCAGAGCGGGTACCGGAAGCAGAGGGGAACCTGGAGAATAAACATGATGGGTAAAAACTTAGATCCGGCTACACTTTCTGTAATTTATATGCACGTGTGCGTGTGTGCACCTGAAGTTTCCGAATCCTCTGCTCTGCTGCAGAGTTTGAGCAAACATCTCGTATTTGCGAATGTCGTTGTCGCTGACAGAACGGCGAGCAAACCTCATTGCCTCTTCAAAGTGGTCCTTCCTGATCTCTGGGACCGGATCGAAGTCCTCATCCTGCAGGAAAAAGAAAACAAATGAGAACTAGACGTGGAAACAGAATGAACCGTGTGTGTGTCCCAGTCCAAAGGCTGAATCGCAGCAGTCAAGCGCACACAGCCTGGTACTACCGGTAAATGGACTGAGCTCTTTATAAAGTCATGTACCCATTCATACATCACTCTACTCGATCTCTACAAAGACTAATCAGTGCTTGATCACATTCATACACTGATGGGACACACACTGGAGGCAATGAGGGGTTCCGTGTCTTGCCCAGGGACACTTCAGCATGTGACTGCTGGTGGAGTCGTACCCCCAACTCTTGCATTGGAGGACGACTGCTCTAACCGCTCAGCCACAGCCGCCCTTACTACTGTGAGAAGTGGCTCTGCGAGTGTGAACATGTAATTCAGGACAAGGTGGATGTAAAACAGGGCAGCAGCGGTGTCAGTTGACCATAGGGATGCCTGGTCGGCTCTGTCTCTGGCGCTCCGCCTTGATTTCGGCCTCGATGGCCTCCCGGATGGCCAGTTTGCAGGCCCGCTGACAGATCTCCGTCAGGTCGGCTCCGGAGAATCCCTCTGTGATCCCAGACAGGAATTCCAGGTCCACGTCCTACAAACAGAAAGAGCAACGGAAACTAGCCGCTTACTGAACTCTTTATAATTCAGTAACTTGTTAGTGGTTCAGCCAAGAAAAATCCACATGACCTAGTTTGAACTTTTTTTGGTGTGTTCTACTAACGCTAGCAAAAGGCTAACTGTCTGCTAAAATAGTAGCTCTCAGGGCTTATTGTAAACCAATCGATGCTGGATGGGGGTGGGTGGGTGGGGAAGAAGGGTCTGGGGGTCCTCCCACAGAACATTTTGAATAAAGTAGATGTGATTTCCTGCATTTTGGTGTATTTTAATGGGTTGTTAAACATCTACGTTTACTTACATTTGTAAACTCCACTTCTGTCAAGATCCTAACCCCGCCCCACTTGGTTCCGAGCCCGAATCTTCTCCGCAGAATTCACTGTCCGACTCCACACGTGAAACCTCCAGGCGCCTCCTCCGACTGCCTGGTTAGCTCAGCACGTACCCCCACCACTCTTTTAGGGACGGAACTTTTTTTTTTTTTAAACGTAGATGCGGAAATGCTACTTGAAGGGGCAGCTACAGTACAAAGTATGTGATATTAATTAAAAAGCTCGTAAGTGGCTGTTGTGTTTAAAATTAGTGTTTATATCATTATTTTCAGTTTACATATCCAATATAAGTTTAATTCGTTCAAGGCAGACATATTTGTTCATAACTTTATTATTAGTAACCCTGAGAGTTACCGGATCCAAGCAAACAGTTACTACAAAGTAGAACATGAACACACCCTGTCAAAATAAGAGAGTTCCCGGATCCTATACCAGCAAGATCCAGCTCATCTGAAATTTACCTTTGGGATCAATAAAGTATATTGACTGATTGAAATTAAGCACTGATCACTGATCACTACTACTACTCTTAACCTTTTGCTACTTATAGCTTTGAGCTAGCATTCTGTTCTTTTTAGCATTTAGCAAGCTTTTTGCTGCTCTTAGGGTTTAGCAAGCCCTTTACAGCTTTTAGTTAGTATTTTAGTGCTTTAAGCATTTAGCTTTTTTTGTTAGCAATTTGCAACTTTTAGGTTTTGAGTGTTACTACAAAGTACTTTGAGCTGAAGTGTTTCGGCATTTGTAGCTATTTCTTCGCTACTTTTTGTGTTTAGTTATGGTTTCATAAATTTTAGCTAATGTTTTGCCATGTTTAGCTAGTGTTTAATCACTTTTGGTCTTTTGCTGAAGTTTTGCCACTTTAAGATACTCCCTGCCAGTTGTTACTTTTAGTTAGTGTTTTGCTACATTTATCTTTTATCTCAGTTTCAGCTTCAACACATTTCAGCACATGTTCAGCACTCAGAATTCACACTGAATTAAAGAGCATGCCATTTCCCCTCGTTAAATATGAGACTGCACAAATTTAACGAAACAAACTTTCTGTGCTAGTTCATGAACAAGAATAATTTAAATTATACAGTGAGTCAATACATTAATTATGCAAATTATTTTAAATTGATCAGAGAGCATTGGTCACCATTTACTGCTGTTTGCTCAATATGTCTGATGCACAGGACTGAGGAAAAGTCTTAACTCATCCATGATTTCTTTACGTTTTGCTTCCAAGGATCCAGACTTGCAGTCTTTTAAAGTCGGGTTTTCCCAGATAATTTCCACTTTTTTGTGCTCAATTCTGCTTTTTTCAGCATAACTGGGCAAACGCGTTTCTTCTGTTTCTTATGCTAAGTTAAGCTTGTTCTACATTTTCAGCTACCTTTTTAGCATTTTTTAATTTTAGCTGTTTTTAGATAAATTCAAGTTTTTCATAGTAATTTCTGCTACTTTCAGCCTAAATAACTTATTTATGCTAATTTCAGCTTATGTTTTTTCAGCTTAATTTGCTAGTTTCAGCTCTTTCGGCTACTATTTAGCTCTTTCAATGGTAATTTTAGCTTTATTAACTAATTCCACATTTTATGAGCTTATTTCAGTTCTTTCCGCTTCCTTCTGGTAGTTTAAGCTTCTTACATTTCTGCATGTTTTTCTAATTTCAGCATTTTTTTAAGCAAGTTTCGTAATTTTTGTGCAAATTTCTGCTTATTCAGCAAATATGTGTTCTTTCTGCTTTCTTCTGCTAATTTCGGCTTGGCCTTCAATGTCAGCTACAGTTCAGCATGTTTGTTTTTTTTAGCTAATTTCAGCTGTTTTTCAGCAAGTTCTTCTGAAATAAGCATTCACACTGCGTTTTCTCAGGAAATGCCATTTCTCCAGTTTAACTTACTTTTGCAACAGGTGATTTGCGCAGGTTGGCTTTAAGGATCGCTGTGCGAGAAGGCTTGTCTGGCAACGGGATGTAGATGAGCTGGTCCAGTCGGCCCGGTCGCAGGATGGCCGGATCAATGATGTCCGGTCTGGTGTTATGAGAAAAGGGATGTAAAGAAATCAGCACAGATTTTCATCTGGTCCTGATTATTAAGTCCCGGCGTAAAAGCCAAATGTGCACCTGTTTGTTGCACCAATGATGAAAACGTTCTTTTTGTCGGACATGCCGTCCATCTCTGTGAGTATCTGATTGATGACTCTGTCCGCTGCACCACCTGCGTCCCCAGCTCCTCCACCTCTGGATTTGGCAATGGAGTCTAACTCATCAAAGAACAAGATGCAGGGGGCTGCCTGTCTGGCCTGTAAGTAGAAAGAAACAGAGACCAAAACAGTGTTGAAAACCAAAAATATCTGCAGGGAGCACCACAAGCTGAAAACTACCGCTCACCTTATCAAACACGTCTCTGACATTGGCCTCGGATTCGCCAAACCACATGGTGAGCATCTCGGGCCCTTTGATGGAGACAAAGTTCGCCTGGCACTCGTTGGCGATGGCCTTTGCCAGGAGCGTCTTCCCACAACCCGGAGGGCCGTAGAACAAAACGCCACGGGACGGGGTCATCCCAAACTTTAGGAACTTGTCAGGATACTCAACAGGGTACTGAGGAGAGCAAGATGATGGATGGTTGTAAAGATGGCTGGACGCTTTTGCAAAATATCTCGTGAACCACTGGTTTTTAAGAAAGTAACATGGGATGAACATCTACATCTGTTTACCTTTTTGAATCACCACAAGTCAAAATGTTCACTGCAGCTAAGATGGCTATATTGCAGTGAATGTACCTGGCTATAACGTGGTGTGGTAGTAGATGACAGTCATTCACAACAGCTACTGCAAGCAATAACTGATCCAGTAAAACATCACATAAGATCGCTCAGAAAGGTCATTTTCAACTCCATCATTTCTCACCACAGATGATTTTTAAAATTTATTCATTCATCAAAACAAACAAAAATAAATAAATAAATAAACATTGAATGAAAAAGGTGCAGAAAGAAGAAAAAATATAATAATATCTGCCCCTTATTTAAAAAAATAAAATAAATAACAACAACTCAGGCTTGAACAATCACCAAAGCGAAAACAAAAAAAACATCAAGCATCCTTCACATCGTACTTTCTTAACAATTTTAACTTAATCATCTTTTTAAACATATAAATTGTTTTAGAAATGTTTATGTTGATATCAAGGCAGTTCCACAATCCTGTTCCCTGAATTACAACACAGCTCCTTCAGACCAGTTCTAAATGGAGGTTTTACAAACATTTCCATTCTCCTAAGGTTATAATGACTCTCTTTTATAACTAATATTAATTAATATTTGGGGGTAATATTTTTATGAGCTTTATACATGACTTGTAAAATACTATATTGAACCAAATCATAAAATTTTAATAATTTCAACTGATGAAATAATATATTTGTTGGGTGACCAGAGCACTTCCTACTAATAATTCTTATAACTTTTTTTTGTCACATAATAACAGGGTTTGTAATAGTTTTGCGTGCTTTTCCCCAAACTTCAATACAATAGATTAAATATGGAACAATTATTACATTATACAATATATACAAAGCTTTGTCATTCAAAAACTCTTTTACTTTATGCAACTGATTTAGCTATTTTTATTCTTAAGTAATTTAAATGAGATTTCCATGTCAGCTTCTCATCAATAACTTCACACAAAAATTTTATTTCATTAACTATGAATTTCAATATTGTCATTTTTAAATGGGACTTCGATAATTTTCTTTCTATTTCTAAATATCATGTAGTTTTTTTTTTTTTTTCCAAATTTAATGATAACTTCAGTTGGAACAAGTTTGTATTTTTATGAATTCTGCCTGTCTCTAACATCCGTTCAATATCTTCACCCGAACAAAAAAATGTGGTATCATCTGCAAATAAAACACACTTAAAAAGTCCTGACACATCAACCAGATCATTCACATACAAAACAAACAACTTTGGTCCCAACACAGAGCCTTGAGGGACTCCACATCCATTAACACAAAATTCAGATCTTACATAATTTTCCTGGACAAACTGTCTCTTACTATTCAAAGAACTAGATATCCACTGTAGTGCTAATCCTCTAATGACATATTTATTCAGTTTTTCAAGGAGCATGGTGTGGTCAAAAGTGTTGAAGCCCTTTTTTAAATCAACAAAAACACTAACACAGTACTGTTTTTGATCAACAGCAGTTGTTATCTCTTCTATTAGTTCCATGAGAGCCATTGATGTTGAATTATTTGCTCTAAACCCATATTGACTATTACTTAAAATATTTTGTTTATCTATAAAATTATCTAATCTGGTTACAAATAATCTCTCTAATATTTTTGAAAATTGTGGCAACAAGGATATTGGTCTGTAATTAGTGAACACACATTTCTCACCATTCTTATAAAGAGGAACTATCTTTGCTATTTTCGTATTTTCTGGATATTTTCCTGTTGAAAAGGGTAAATTACATATATACAGTATGTAAATGGTTCAATAACTTAACATCACAGTCTAAAACTCTATGACTGCCAGATCTTTATTATTTTTGTAAAAAGAGACAGACTGAATGCTAATTTTACCTGAACAAGCTCTTGAAGTTCTCTCTTGACCTCGGCGAGTCCTCCGATGTCCTCCCAGTTGACTTGAGGCACCTCTGCCACCGTCTCTCTCAGAGCTGAAGGGTTGCTTTGACTCAGTGCCCACTGTGGGGACGGAAGGGGAGGTCAAAAAGAAGGCACGTTCTCGTTGACACGGAGCTTTTGGTGGAGCTGAACTCTGTATATATTGTGTGCGTTTCGTACCTGGAAGTCGTCCATGGTGACGGCCAGCGAGTTCAGCAGGTCGGCGTCGATGGTTTCATCCTCCAGGTCTATAAGCGTCATTTTCTTTCTGATGGCCTGCAGAGCAGCTTCTGAGCACAGAGCAGCGACGTCGGCGCCCACGTGTCCATGGGTCTCTGTAGCTATCTGATTTATACACATTAAATACATTACACTTATTTTCATTGAACACTAGTTCATAAAGGCTGGTTCTAATTGACTAGTAAAATTTTTATTATCACTTAAGCCACGGGTGTCCAAAGTGTGGCCCGTGGGCCATTTGCGGCCCTTGCAGTGATTTTGTGCGGCCCACAACTGCAGTTTAAAATGGTATCATTTTGGCCAGCAGGCTTAAGAGGTCGATGCAGACTTTCTGCAAATTCGTTGGTAATCCTTTTTTATATGTTGCTCATGTTTAGGTTTGACAGCAAAACGGACCAAACAAACAATACAAACCTTTGGCTATAATCTTTTATTTTCACTTCTTGGTATAAAGCTTCAAAAACCTTTAGTGATTTCTACCAGAAAGAAGACTTTTGGATAATAACTCATAAAACTTGGCTAAATATTAAAACTGATAAAATAATTGAGGGAAATTGGACATTTTTAATGAATATAACGTGGTATCATCTACATACGAGTTGATCAACTTTATCAAACCTTCTATGAATCTGTTGTAGCGACTGACAGCTGGACCATTTTTCAAAACTTCGATCATCCTTTTGGGCCGTCCATGGTCCAAAAGGATGATCAACCCCCTTTTAAAAGGACACTTACTGAAATTATGCTTTTGTTGCCAAGAACAAACTAAACTGAACTTTCCAAACACAAGAAAACAACAAACATATACTCCACAAATCAAATGAATCAAATTAGTTTTTAACTATAAGCTTAGTGTTTATGAGGTTTTTATTGTTTTGGGTCTACAACAATTTAAAACTCTTTCTCCACCAAAAATAGTAAATTTGACATTTCTCCAAAATATTGTTCACGTTGAGAGTTAAATTCACATTTTTGTGGTCCTCGAGTCCTTTCATCGTCCTGGCTCAGAGTTTTTGAACAATGAGCACAAAAACCCACACAAATCCTTCCAATAATCTCCTCCAGCAGGTGCTCATTTTGAAAACACTCAAAGCCTCTCCAATCAGCAGATATTGATTACAATCAGCACAAAAATATCCAGGTGGAAACATTAGGAGTCACAGATAAAAAAAGGAAAAACAGTTTTTAAAGTTCAGTTCGCAGATGTGGATTTGTGGCACGAGTTTTGTGACATGGAAAGATCATTATTGCAATTGTGTAACTGCCTAGCTGTGCATGTGTGCGCTTATCTGTCTGTGTTAGCAAAAAATGACAGGATTTTACATATTTTATTGGAACTCTTGCTAAGTAATTATTGGATGTACATCTATGATGTTTGGAGTCAACCCAATTCAAGATGTCTGCCACAGTCAACTAACCATAATAAATACAAACATGGATATAACTCAGTCAGTTTTAAAGATATTGAGCTAAAATGCTGGTGTGGTAGTAGCTGAGAGTCATCCCCAACAGATGTTATGATCTTTGTTGGAAGTTTTGGCATGCAAGGTGTGATTAGGGTTAGAATTTTGCCATCATTTTTTGAGTCAAAACTTACTTAAAACCCATAGTTATCAAATTTAATGCAACAAGGGACCAAACATATCTTCAACACAAAACAAACTATGTTTAATAGATTGTAGCTTTAGTTTATTTATTATTCAACCAGCCATTGTAGGTGTAAATGTCCCATTAAGGGTTAAGATGTTTCGTTTTCACCACAGCTCACCTTCTCCAGGTCGACGTCGTCGGCCAGCTTCATGTTCTTGGTGTGGATCTGCAGGATCTCCAGTCTTCCAGTCGAATCTGGGATTCCAATGTCAATCTCACGGTCAAACCTGCCTGGAGAGAGTTGGACATATCCGTGAGGGTTTACCTCGTTATGTTTATCTGTGCGTGCGCATTTGGCTGTTCTAACCGAAGCGCCTAAGAGCGGGGTCGATGCTGTTTGGTCGGTTTGTTGCTGCCATGACAACCACGTGGGCTCTTTGCTTCAAGCCGTCCATCAGCGTCAGAAGCTGCGACACAATACGCCTCTCCACTTCCCCGTGAGTCTACTCATGCACACAGAGTTAAAGAAAACAGGCTGAGTTTATGTTTCTGATGTTTTTAAGGATTTAGTAATCCCGACTTACCTTTTCTCGTTTGGGAGCGATGGCGTCCAACTCATCAATGAAGATGATGGCTGGAGCATTGTTCTCCGCCTCCTCAAACGCCTTCCTTAGGTTGCTTTCTGACTCTCCTGCCAACTTACTCATGATCTCCGGACCTGGTCATAGAACAATGTTAAACATCTCCTGCTCTGAGACAAACACAAGAAAACTTCTGCATACGTTACAGCTAATTTCAGTCTCCAGTTACTGTAGCTATGCAGAAGTGTTTTAGTTCAGTGCAATGAGCCGGTGGGAATCTGTATGACAATAAACACCTATAGGAAGATCATACTACCAAATGACTAAACATCTATAGGAAGATTGCACTACCAAATATATGCAGGGTATTACGCATTAGCAGTGCATATTGTTTCGTTTAAGGGGTACAAGTAGTAGGGGTGCACCCTCTGCACCCCTACTTCGGGAAGCTTTGCTAGTAACTGCTCATTTGTCCTACTACTATGTGGCACTGGAAAACTTCCTTACCATTAATGAGGAAGAAGAAGGCCCCAGTTTCATTGGCTACAGCTCGAGCCACCAGGGTCTTCCCTGTGCCTGCAGGGCCATAAAGCAGGATACCTCTGGGGGGCTACAGAGGATGATCAATCAACACGAAGATGGAGAACAGAAAAGACCTACTTACTAGAATTTAAACAACTCTGTTAGCTGAAAGAGTTCACACTTGGTACACGTTTAAGAGCACAACACCTTAACTCCTATAGCCTTAAAGAGTCCCGGATGTCTGAGAGGAAGCTCCACCATCTCTTTGATCTGAGCCAGTTGCTTTCGACAGCCTCCGATGTCATCGTAGCCGATGTCATTCAGACTCTCCTCTTCATCCTGTAACAAGAAGCAGGATAGCCCAAGACGTTCTCAAGAGTAGCTGCTCAGAGGTAGATGTTATGTGGTTGCATGAAGATTACTAAAGCACATGAAAACTAGATGTTGAACAGATTTCCAAAGGATCCCTATCCTAATTCTATGGTAAACAACTTTTATCGACTTTTTTAAATATATGTATGGGTTTGGATACAAATTTACAATTTTTCTGGAAGATAATTGCATACACTGCCACCCACTGGCCAATTGGTGTAATTGCACCAAAAACTTCTTCAAACCTCGATGGCCGATGGAACTCCACCTTAGAAACATTTTTGTTGTTCTTCTACGACTGATGGCCCAAGTAATATTTTCTTTAAATAACGTTACATTTAAGTACTATGACAGTTAAAGTTAAGATATATATTTTATTTGGTGCAAAACAACAACTAAAAAGGTTATTTTTGTGTCTAATCAACTGGACGCCATGTATCATTTTTATATTTTACCAACAATTCAAATTATTAGTAAGTCTTTTCTTGCCGGAAAAAACAAACAAACTATAACCTATATGTTTCTATAAATTAATTAACGTTTCTTAATTTGAACTTGCAGTTTTGGAAACAAAATCTTTAGCGGATGTCATGTTTTCTGCCCTGTCATGTTCTGAGCTCAAGCCTTGCCTTCTAGCCACGCCTACTCTGCCCCCCCCACACTCTTAAGAACTCTTGCCACCCTTACTCTTGGCCAGATTATCGAACCAGTTGGAAGTAGATGTGCAGCGTTCTAGTCACAGCTCTCTGATCATCTTGTCTTGACCCCACGCCTGTCTTTTGAATTATTGACCTGCCTGCTCATTGCCTGTTACTATATTACCCTTCTGATCACGGTACCAACCTGCCTTTCTGTCCTACGACTGCGCCTCACGGATCTTCCTCTTGGATTTGTTATTGGACCTCTGATACTCTGTTAATGACCCTCTACTCCACACCCGACTCTCGCCTCTGGATATTACTCTGGATCATATCTCTCTCAGACCTGCTCCTCTGCTGCAGTACTGTCTGTGCCGGTGACGTCACCCTGCCCTGCTCCTTCAGGTGGCGCTCCTCTTACCTGAAGGTTAGTGGCTGCTTTTCTGTTTACCTTCATCACAGAAACTGTCAGTCCACTAACCCTTCATACCTCTGTAGATTGGGCTCGCTCCAGGACTCTGACCTCCACCAGCAGCTGTTTCTAAATAAAACTTTTAAAACATTTCCTGTTCAGTGTCTTGCTCGAATCCAAAAACACGATCCTTGTCGGAGGATTAGTTTCACAAAGTCAACTATAACAAGTGAAGTAGAAGATAGTGGAGCAATTAAAATTTGATTCAGGTAAAGTGATGCAAGAGTTATGAATAACAAATACAAAAAAAAAAGACAATTGTGATAAGACTGAAGGAAATTCTGATACACGAAGACAAATTGCCAAAAAGCTGAGAATTTAATTACTGAGAAAGGCAAAGATGACTTATTTTAAGGACTCTTTCCTCCTTTGTATGAGATTATAAACAGAACGTTGAGAATATGGAGCCATTTAATTTATTTAACAGTCAGTGTCTAGGAGGACTATTGGATGAATTTGTGCACAATTCACATTTTTTATGTGCTGCAAAAAAGAGAGGGGAAATAAGAACATCTGGCTTGAACTAACAATGTTGTGTGCCCAACTGATTTCCCCATTTTCATACCAAATTGACAACAAAAAAAGACAAATAGAAAAACCCAAATTATGTCTAAAAAGCACGAAAAGTTTAGAGGTGTTTTTATCTTAACTGAACAAGTTTGAGAGGACGAAGACGACAAAGGGATAAAGATTGAAGTAGGCCTGTCACGATAACAAATTTTGCTGGGCGATTAAATGTCTCAGAAATTATTGTGATTAACGATAATGTTTGAAATTTGACAATAATTAGTAATTATTGTCAAATTTAAGAAGAAATGTTGGTTAATTTTTGTGTGTAGTACCTTTTTGATCACTGGATGGCAGACTGTTTGAACCGAAGGATGGATAGTGAGGGAGACAGCAGCATGTTTCATCCATCCATCCATTATCTTTACCCGCTTCTTCCATTTTGGGTCATGGGGGTCGCCGGTGCCCATGTCTGGTAATCATTATGCGAGGGGCGGGGTACACCCTGGACGGGTCGCAAGTCCATCACAGGGCCACATAGAGACAAACACTCTCTCACTCACACCTAGGGACAATTTAGAATTACCAATCAGCCTAACATGCATGTTTTTGGTCTGTGGGAGGAAACCGGAGAACCCGGAGAAAACCCACGCATGCACGGAGAGAACATGCAAACTCCACCCAGAAAGGCCCCCGGACCTAGCAGTTTTTTTTTGGTTTTGTTACCTTTTTCCTTTTAGCCATCCTATTTGTTAAAAAAAAAAAAAAAAAAAACTGTAGTATGAGTTTTTATAACTGCTTATTGTTGTTGCTGTTGTCCATTGTTGTCATCTTTCTTTGTTGAAATCAGGTCTCTCTTGTAAATGAGTCCTCGAGGCTCAATGGGATTTACCTGTCTAAATAAAGGTTGATTGATTGTTGAGACCGGGGTTTGAACCAGGGACTTGCTCGCTGAGAGGCAGCAGCTTTGTTACGTCACCGTGCTGCCGAGCGAGCAGCGTGTCCCTTTAAAATTCAACCGTGAATTTTGGAGTTTCGACAAGACGGAGGTTTATTCCCCGAGGTTGGCCTGTTAGCTTAGCTCGTAGCTTAGCTTCTCAGCTTAGCTGCTTTTAGCGATCCAAAAATGAAATTTTGGACGGTTAAAACAGATTTTAAAGAGAAAGGGAGGGGTCAGTGAAGAGCACCGGAGTTGAGCCTTTTGCCATCCAGTGTCTTCAGTAAAAAAAGAGACACGAAGAAACAATGAAGACGATAAATGAAAATTAGGTCGATACTTTTCATTTATCATGAGATTAATTGATTTATTGTTTATCGCGACAGGCCTACATTGAAGCACAAAGGTGATATTTAACGTTTGTTCTTTTAACAAGCTGACAGACCTCTCTTTTGATCGGCTCTCCTTCACAGTAGATGACGGTATCTGGGGCCACGATACAGTGAGGGCTGGGGTCCGTCTCTACCACCTTGAACTCCACAGCCCTCATGCTCCCCCTCACCAAAAAGACGTCCCCTGACAACACAAACAGGAAATTATTACTGTCATCCAGAAGTGTGGGGATGAGTTATTGTTTTACTGTTTACCCAAAACGATCTCTACCATTGTGTATGGGCCGGTAAGCCTCCAGGAAGTACGGCTTGAGGAAAACTTCAAAGAGGTTCCCCGTCAGGCCCTCGACGGTGTCTTCGATGGGGAGGACGTGGATCTTTTTTCCATACTTGACATCCGGGCAGGCGTGGATGCTGCGATGTTGCAGACGTTACCTACGCAAAAGGATGCTGGTTTCTAAAGATGCTTCGTGGAGCATGCAGGCTCTACCTGATGACATCGCCGAGCCGAACACGCAGGTTGTTGCGCGTCACTCGGTTCATCCGTATCCTCTCAACCCCGCAGGTCTCATCGGTCAGGACGATGCACACAGTTTGCCTCCGTTTTCGTCCTTTCAACACCACGGTGTCCCCGCGGAAGAGCTGCAGCTCTTCGGTCTTGTTCTAAAGGAAACGAAACACGTCTAAGACCGAACACGCACGCACAAGTCTGCTGCTGACTGCAGACACACACACCTGTGACAGGCTGACGATGCTGCTGTCTTCGTTCAGGGCTTCATCCACGATCAGCCTGTTGGGTCTGTGTTTTTGCTTCAGGATGGCGGTTGAGAAATCTTCTCCCTTTGGGCTTCCGAACAAGAGACATGCTGAGACGGCCACATGCACGCTGTGCACGGCAAGGTCTAGTTTCATCATGTGACACCGTGCTGTATTTAGAAGCTCTTTGACTCTGCACGTAGCAACTTTTTGTCTGGATAAACCTAAAAATATGTTCTCGAAGGTTTAGAAGAAACATGCAGGAGGGGGTTGAATGGGTGCTGGAGCTGCTGCTGCACCCATCGGTGTCCAAAGCAGCTTTTACGTACAAACTAAAAGATTTGTGTCCATGTCTGCTTTGTTTACACTTATAATCATTGTTCTATACATAAATGCATACATAAATTAAACTGGCTGCTGTTGGTGAGTTTAAGATGACCTTTGACCCCAAGGTTTCCTGTCTGAACATGAGTTATTAAAACTCAACAGACCATAAATGATCTCTTATTAAACATGATGTCAGTTCTTAGCACACATGCCATAAAATGCCAGCATTAAAACATTGTTTAATAAAATATACACGAGTGAGATCTCATGCGCGCGCACAACGTGCAGCTGTTTCACTCACTCTGCTCCTGAGCCTGGCATGTTTCCTCGCCTTTTTCACCGTGGAGTTCCAAAATTTTTCACCTTCTTTCGGTATTTTCCTTGGGATTATTCGAGCTGAACTCGTAGAGTTGGTAGCTTTCAGATTCTGTCTGATCTGAGCAGCTTCGGTGAGGCTTCAGAGGCCCCGCAGGTTCCCAGAAGTCTCTGAGTGGTTTTCTTTTTCCTCGCTTGTTTTCAGCCCTCCATGTTTGCTGGAGCTGCTGCTTGTCTGTTTATCAGAGGAGGTATAAATACACCCGTCTGCTTCTCTGGCTTATTATAACTCCATCGTGAGTGCACACACCCCTCACACTAACCCCGGAGTGTCCCAAGCAGAACCTGCGTGATATTTCCTGCTACACTGATACTCGCCAGCACATGAAAGTGAGAGCTGCTCCCGACTTGAGTTAAATATTCACGGATCAAAAGAAATTGTGCAGGAACTGTTTTCCCCTCAACAGCGCTGCAGACTTATGTCGTGTTGAAGAGCAAATATTTATTTTCTAAAACAGAGCATGGCGTTTTCTCATCCGACTGCTTGAGACTGAAGGGAGCTGCTGCTGTGACCCAGTTGCTCCAGACTGTCAGTGGTGCGCCCAGTGGCAATTTTAACCTCCTTTTGGGGGTGTTCAAGCACCCCTAAATTTTAACTCAGCACCCGTGCAAAATTAAGAAACCATCATTAGGATGTCATAAGGAAACTCAGTTCTCAAAACTCAAGATTTACCAAAATATTGAATAAATATGGAATAACCAGAGCTTAATTTGAGCTGCCAGAACAGGATCCAGGAGCTCTTTTATTTTGACAGGGTGTGTTCCGGTAACTGTTTGCTTGGATCCGGAAGCTCTCAGACTTACTAATAATAAAGTTATGAACAAATATGACTGCCTTAAACGAATAAAACTTATATTGGATATGTAAGTGAAAATAATTATGTTATATAACCACTAATTTTAAACACAACGGCGAGCTGCCCCTTCAAGTAGCATTTCCACGTCTACCCTTAAAAAAAATCTCCGCCCCAAGAGTGGTGGAGGTGAGTGCTGAGCTAACCAGGCAGTCGTACGCATGGAGGAGCTCACAGGCTGGAGCTCACAGGCTGGAGCCCACAGGCAGGAGCTCACAGGCAGGAGCTCACAGGCAGGAGCTCACAGGCAGGAGCACACAGGCAGGAGCACACAGGCAGGAGCTCACAGGCTGGAGCTCACAGGCAGGAGCCCACAGGCAGGAGCTCACAGGCAGGAGCCCACAGGCAGGAGCCCACAG